GGACGCAATTGTCTATTAGAGAGTGTTCTGTGTTTTCGAAAGCACCCTCAACATCCAAGAAACAACCCACCGCCACCTCTTTGTCCTCCAGGAACAATTAAATTTTCCTTGTTAGATTCTGAAGAGCGTGGATAGTAGATCTTCCTGGAAGATAGGCATATTGGTGTCTGTACAAAGGGTTCCTGGTAAGGAAACAATCCCTGATATGCCTGTCTACGATTCTTTCCACTGTTTTTAGTAGAAAGGACGTAAGACTAATGGGTCGGTATGACTTTGGTTGCTCTGCTGGTTTTCCCCCACCTTTGGGATGTAGCGGACCGTCACTTCCTGCCATTGAAGTGGAAGGGACCCCCACGCGAAACTTGCTCTGAAAATTGGTATCAGGAGGGTAGCTGGGAAAATGGCATCTGCTCCAGGTGCTTTGAAGGCGCGTGGGCGTTTTATCCCAGTCTGCGTGTCGATTTTCCTGGTTGTGCTCAGTGGCAAACAGTCAGGAAAATGCACTTTGGCTAGCAAGTTAAGGGATTCCATGCAGCTGTTCGTAAAGAATTCATCGTGTCTTTTCAGGAGCCCTAACTCAATAGTGTGCGTCTTTGCGAGGACTCTGTGGATTCTTGCGCTTCCCGTAAGGTCCTTGTTCCCTGTACAGAAAAGAGCACATGAGTTCCTCTTAGCACATCTTATCTCTTTATTTTACTCGGTGAGGGCAATTTTATACGTTTTCCATTCACCAGTTCGTTTAGCTCTGTTAAAGAGCTTCCGGGTATTTGCCCTAAGATTGGCCAATTTGTTATTCCACCATGGAGTCTGTCTGTTGTTAAGCCTAGTAACTTCTGGAAAGGATTCATGGTAGGAATTCACAATGGCTGATGTCAGATCTGAGCAGCTAAGTTCAAGATCGACTAAGTCATTTACCTTTCGCTTGCACCTTTTCAGACCGTCCTGCAGAAGTGCATCGTATAGATCCCAATCAGTGGTACTTGGTCTTCTGTATGTGGTAGCAGTTGGTAATGTGATTTCAATTTCAAAACGGATGTGCATGTGATCTGATAAAGAAATTTCTCTGGCCACTCTCCATTTCTTGACGAAATTACTGATAAAAGGAGTGGATAGAGTGAGATCTAGAACCTCATCCCGTATACTGTTCCTAAAAGAGGGGGCCTACGTTTAAAATTTCTACCCTATTAAGGCTAATAAATTACTTACTCTTACTCACCTCTTTGATTTATGTTACTGCTGCCCCATATGGTATTGTGGTCATTAGCGTCACATCCCACGATGAGTTGCAGTTTATGTCTGCCACAATAGTCCACTAGTCCCTGTAGTGGAAGAAACTCGTAATCTCTGGAGTCGCCGGGCAGGTACGCTGAGCAAATGATTAGCTCTTGCGTGTTTTCTCCGAGGGATAGGCTCACCTTCACTGCAATCTGGTCCTTATTGGTAAATTATGGAATGAGAAAGGCGTTGATATGATTAGCTATCATCAGGCAGGCTCTAGGCCGTCCTTCGTTGAAGGAGTCATAGAATAGCTTACCTGGTAGTCCCTTTATCTGGTTCCCATAAATGTACGGCTCCTGGATAAAGGCGATGTCACTCAGAATTACAATTCTCTCATTACGGTATCCTCTGTTAATGATGGTCTCCGCACACAAATAGATGGCGTATACTTCTGCTTGAAATATGTTCGGAAATTTCCCCATAGGAAGGGAGATCCTGGTCCTGGATCCAGAGATTCCAACCCCTTTCATCCTGGGGTCTTCGATCCGTCTGTGTACCACTCCAGTATAGTACTGAAGCACTCTCTCCAAGGAGGAGGTACTCCAGATTGCTTTACTGCCTAACTTAATCTTAAACCTCTTTTCAAAAACTATAGTTCTACATATGTCGTCCCTCGGAAACAGAGCTAGCGGGAGCAAGGACCCTAGCTTCGCCATGCTCCTGGAGAAAATGACCTTTCCTGTTCCATATTCGTCTCTAGCAAAACTGAGTAGAGCTCTTTTGGCGATCTGTTCCATGGTTATATAAAGGGGCTCGAGTTCAAGGACCACTTCCAGTGCTGTCATCGGACACGTGCTCATCGCTCCCGCTATGCATATATATGCCAGTGATTTTAGCTTAGTGAGCGATTGTCTCACGGTAGCCAGAGTGCTTCTTGAAAACCAAGCCACTTCCCCATATGTCACTATTGGCTGTACTATCATGGCGTAAAGCCATCTTCGGATCCCAGGGCTCATCTCCAGGATTTTCCCGGCAGACGCTTACACACCATTAATGCTTTTGTGGCCTTGGATGTGGTCGCATCCACATGTTTCTTCCATAGCTGTTTGGTGTCCAGGATTAATCCTAGGTACTTCACTTCACTGGCGACATTGACCACGACCTCATCCACGGTAATGTCCTTCATGCCCGGTCTTTTCCTAGTAAATGGAACTATGGCGGTTTTGGCTGGATTAATACTAAGCCCTAACTTGGCACACCATTCCTTTGTTATTCTTAAGCTTCTTTGAACGATGTCGCAGAGGGTGCTCTCAAACCTCCCTCTGGCAATGATCACTATATAGTCCGCATAGCCTTGGCAGCGGATACCATTATCAGAGGGAAGCTGGGAGAGTTCATCAATTACTAGGCGCCATAGAAGGGGAGATAGCATAACCCCACCACCCTCCCCCACCTCACAGAACAGCCCTTTTTTGTTTGTACTTGTACCATGCTGTCTCCTACGTCGGTTACAGCAATCCTAGTACGCAGCAGTGTATCCACCCATTTTCAAATCACCGGCTGTACATTTCTTCTCTCCAGTGCCCTGCGCACCCCCGAGTAAGACGGATTGTCAAACGCTCCCTCTATGTCGAGGAAAGCACATAGCACTATTTCTCCACATTGAAAGGCCTCCCGCATCTCTGTCGTCAGTTGGGCTGTGTCCGTGGACCTTTCAACTCTGTATTCGTGCTAATAGGGGTGTAGAGGTGTTACCTTCAGAAAGTTATATCTGATATAGTTGTTCACTATCTTCTCCAGTGCCTTCAAGACAAAGGAGGTTAGACTTATGGGTCTGAATGACTTCGCTAGCGAATAATCCCTTTTACCCACTTTCGGGATAAATATTACTTCGCCACAACTGTGGAATGTAAGCTTCCGCAAGACTGCTTCGCATTATGTCCAACAGGTTCAGCGTCAATTCCTCGCCACCCTGTTTCAGTATGACTGGCCGGACGTCATCCACCCCTGGGGCTTTAAATCGTTCAAACGAACCCAGCGCCCATCTGACTGAATATTGGGTGAGTATACTTCTTGCCAGTTTCCAGTCAGATGGTCGCGGCCTTGTCTGCTCCAGTCCAGTGTAGGTGCCGTCACTGCGTTTTAGCGCAAGTTCCGTTTCCACCGTTTCTCTGGCTAGAGCCTTGTGTAGCCCCGCATCTGTTGGGTTATTAGAAATACCTTCACAGAAGGTTCTATAAATGGATCTCTTCGCCTTCCTAATCTCCTTGCTGTAGATCGTTAGTTTAGCTGCATACTCATCCCAGCCTTCCGTACGCTTGGCCTTGTTGAAAAGTTTGCGTACCTCTTTCCGGAGTACTGAGAGCTCCCTTGACCACCACGCGGTCTTGGTTGTCACTTTTGGTTTGGTCTCAGGGCAGCTATAGTTGAAGGCGTCGATCATTATGTCCGTTAGCCTGTTAATCTTATTTTCTAGCGAAATACAGCCCTTTCTTCTATGCTCTCTCTTTATACCCGGTAGGTTTGTAGCTAAAAGCTCTCTATATTTATCCCAGTTAGCGTTCCTGGGGTTCCTCATTGGAGCGTATGCCTTGACATCCGCTCCCAGCAAGACTTGGATAATTCTATTGTCAGACATGTATGGCTTTGTGAACCTCTCCATTGTCTGAGTAGATCGTTACCCATACTGTTGCTGAGGGCAGGACCCTTACTCTTGTGATAAATCTTGGGCTATTCCCCACTTTATTTATGCTCAGATCTTCACTTAATATGTACTCTAGTAACGACTCACCCCTTCTGTTAGTGTCGAAACTTTCCCACTCTACGTGGTGAGCATTAGCATCAGCGCCGAGGATCAGTGAAAGTCAGGCTTGTCTGCAATGCCTCACGTTGTACCTCTGCAGGGGGCATGTTGTTGGTGTCCCCAGGAAAATAAGCGGCAGCGAGGTTTAGGTTCATTGGTCTTCCGTCCACCCGAAGCGTTACGTGCACTGCCACTACGTCTTGCGTTAGGAACTCTGTAGTGCAAAAATAATCAATATTGTTTTTAAGCTCTACGCATGCTCTGAGTCTCGCAGCAAGGTCCCATATTACCTTATTAGTTGCTCCTTTGAGGCCCCTACCTGGCCTCTGTAAGTCCACAGCTCCTGAAATTGTAATATGCCCAGATCGTCCGTCGAAAATCTGCTTCCAATTACAGCCGAGGCTGCAATCGCATGATGCAGATTGATCTGGGCTACTTCCAAGGGCGGTGGGTGCGTCATCATTGCTCGTCGAGGTCCGAGAGCAACTCAGTCTCCTCTTCGCCACCCTCTTTCTTGTTCGTTGCCTTCTGTCACCAGGGCCGCATTGTGACAAAGCTGAATCTATAGTTCAGCTTATATTCAGCCCTTCTGACGCTACTGAAAGAGTCTTCGTCGATCACTACATTAAGACATAGACCAGCGCTCGAAATTACACGCTACGTAGGGTGTTGAGCCCCACAGGAGTCTGGGGTGTTAAATGCCCGCTCCTCCTCTTAGCAGCGGGTGCGGTTTTGCCGGAACCCTCTCTTTCCTACCTTGTTCACTATGCTTTTCATGCTTTTTCTCTCTGCGAAGCCCGATCTTCCGCTTTTCAGCGGGTGCGATCTCGCCTGTACGCCTGTCTCGGTGGTGTCCCGCACTCCGCTTATCAGCGGGCGCTTCCCTACCTTTCTCGCTATTATGCTCGCCCATCCGCCTAACGGCGGGTGCGGTCTGTTTGCGAGAGTTCTCTGCTGTTGTTGTTGTAGCAGCATACAAAATCCCCAAAGACTTTTTGGGGAGTATTGCTGGAGTGACAGTCCTTGGCCAGATATAAATCTGGGTCGTTCCTGTTACGTAGACCCGAATGTCGTGGGAACGAGAGTTCTCTTGCCTTCGATATTGCTGGATGTGGTCGCTTAGTTCTTCCCCGAAGACGGTTTGGCAAGAGCCAGTTCCCTAGCCCCATCGGGTAACTTACCTTCCTCCAGGTACCTCACATAGCATCACGAAGATGCCCCATTAAGGCCAAGTCGCCGGCGGTCGTCCAGGGCTCCTGGTTGCCTCAGAGGCGGAAGTGTGGGTGGTTTTCCTCGCCAATCCAGGTGGCGCTCTCTCTCCTGCCTCGTGGAGTCTCGATATGCAGTGGAGCTAGTATGACTGCAGGACCTATCCCGCACTCGAGTTGGTTCGCTGTCGTGCCTACTTCGGTGCCCCTTTTTCTGTTCGGTGTTCTCATGCCCACCTATTGATTTAATATACTTCTCATAGAAGATGCCTGAGCTGGTGCAGGCTTCCTCTTCCTCTCGTGCATGCTCAATAAATAGAGCTGCCTCAGCATCGGAGAGACTGTCTAGAAAGTTCCTCCTCCGAACCACGTGCGTGCTACCTTTCTGCTTAGTTTGTGCCTCCTTTCGTTGTTCAGTCTTTGTAGCCCTTTAGTTTTCTTAGTATCTTCTTCTTCTTTTGGTTGTTTGTTGTTGGTTTTGTTTTTGTTTTCTTTGGTTGGCTTCATGTCGTTCGTAAGACCGCGTGCCTGACTTGCCATGCGTAGCAGTCTATTAGTTATAGGGGGATCTCGTCGTCCGCCGCGCCAGCGCCCCTTGTCGCGGTAAGGCTACCGTTATTCCTCGAGGCGGCCCGGTGTCGAGAAAGCGCCATTTATAATACAGCCGGTTTTCAGCCAGGAGGGAACTGCAAACCATCCAATGATATATTTCTGAAAGATAATTTTTGGAGGAAAAAGTTATGGTGTAGTGTAGGCATTCATATCGCTAGTTTAGAGTGAAAAGTTGCTAAGTCCGTTTATAGAAAATTTACAAAACATTGAAGAATTTTGCAGAAGGTTCCGTTGCAAATTAAAAGATTTCGAACTTTTTGTGAGCTTATCGATTTTTTTGCCTCTTTTGGACTTAGTTAATTTGCCTTTAATTGAATGTAAACAGGAAGACGTAAAACAAGCACGTTAGTTAATCCTTTTTGAGACGTTCCATTTTCAATTTGGCAACTAAACTGCCAAAAAATTTTAGCTATTCAAAATAATAATTAGATTGAAAAATAAAAGTCCGGGTATAAAATTGTCACTGAATCGGGTTTCGATACAAGTACTTCCTTCCGATACCTACTCAGTACTCAGGGCAAAAGTATCGATACCAAAATTAATTGGTATCGGACGAAAAGTATCGAATATGTACCTACTTGTATTTACTAGTATCGTTTTGTCCTCAATTCTTGTTACGGTCTCATTTCGCTGCTATGTGAAAAAGGTTTTTTCGCACTCGTGGATTTCCTTCTACTTCCTATTCTATAAAGCCGACATTGCCTTTGCAAATAAAGTTTTTTAAGTCTCAAAGAAAAAAAATGAAAAAGCACGTTACTTTTCGAGACAATGGGCCGTATGCATGATTCAATAATTAAAGGTTTGCTCATTAGTGACATTAGAGTTTTGACACTCCCTTAGCTCCCTTACAAAAGCTTTGCACACACACGAACCACACACAGTGCCTTGCTAAGGGAGCCGATTTTGTCAAGAGGGAGCGAGAAAACTGTTTTTTGAGCAAACTTTTATTGAATCATGGGCCGTATGCATAAAACCTAAGCAAATGATTTTTCTTAAAATTTCAAACCGTTTACTCGATTTGTCCAAATAAATTTAAGTGCAAAGTACGAAACTTTAAGGTCATCCGTGAAAAAAATGCAACTAAACTCTTCTTCAGGGTGCTCGCGCATTTCATTTACTTCAGTAAGAAAATTATTTGCAACAGCAATGCAGTTCCGTACAGAGCAAAAACTAGCTAATATAATAGAGTATGGTTTTTACTAATTAGAAAATTAATATGACAACAATAAGGAATCGCCTCTACCTTCGTCCCTAAATAATTCAATACGATGGTCTTTTACATTTCTCTTAGAAGTCAGTTTTACTTAGTTCAAAAATTTCCTTAGCTTTTTAGCAAAAAACGGGGATTTAGTACCAAAACAGAAGCTAAAAAATGGACATAAGCTAGGCACACCCGCCAAACATACCTTTTAGATCTGCATATAATAGTTATGTTAGTGTTTGTCCGAGCTTCTCCTCCGATTCGTGGCGTACGCCTTGATGTTGTCACACAATAGAGGAGGGACCTACAGTGTTACGCCGACTCCGAACGGCGAATGATTTTTTTTGAGAAGCTGTTTTTCATGGAATAGGTTTTGCTACTGCCTGCCGAGGTGCGACCGCTATTAGAAAAAAACTTTTTTGTTTATAAGTAAGTAAAGGGTTTGGAAAACGCCGAAAGGTTCAAAATAAAACGCAAGTATTCGTAAGAACCCCTCAAAAAAAATGCTTAAAAATAAAAGGGTAGAATGCCGACAATTTTCTTTTATATTTGCCCTAATAGCTAAGGGGCGTAGATGCAAATATGAAATGAGAGGAATCGAATGAAACCAAAATGTGGCACGACAAATCGTTCTCCATCTTTCGCTATATTTTAGAAATCGGTATCTCCACTCCATACATAATAAATAATGTAGTACTTAGGGTCGTCAAAACTTAAAACTACAATCAATAAATGATCATATTTTCTATACTAAGGCGACACGACAGTTATAAAACAAAGTACCCCTGTTTCCTTTAGAACTCAGTTTTTTAAACATATGTACATATGTATGTATATTACCAGAGCTGTAAAATGATTGAATCAGTAGGATCTGCATTCACTCGGCATTCTTTTCAAAATTTTGATTGTTTGACTGTATAAAAAAAACCTTATTCCTGAGTGGCTTAAATTATTTATTTTGAAACAAAAACAAACGTAATGTGTTATTGAACGGTAGAGTTCCATTCAGTATAGAATGTAAATGTAACAAAAGCATTCGCAATCATCGTGTTTGTAAATTTTTATTGAATGCAAGCACTTTTGATCATTCAGTACTACACTGAAAAAATATGCCTTGACACTAGAAGAAAATCTTTATAGGAGAAAATAGTCGGCCAAAATTCTTTTAATGGACATGTCGGGATAAAATTTTTACCCTAAGCTATGTTAAGAGTAAAAACTGTAATATGTAAAAGTGGACGGGGTTGGACACGCCCACATACAGTCATGTGAAAAATAATAGGGACACGACATTGTCACCAGTTTCGGCTATTTTTGTTTGTTTAATGTTTATTTTTTTTATAAAAATACAACTAACTGTCTAACAAAAACCACATAAGTCCAAATTTCAAAGTAGAAAAAATCAACAAAATTATAAAACAACACAAACCTGTTTAATAAGAACTTTTAGAAAAAATCGAGGTGTGCAGTTTTATAGTCCATTAAATTGTAGCTTAAGAAATTGCAAGTTTGAAGTGGCTAAAAATTTGCGTTGATTGTTCATAATGTTTTTTTTTGGCGAATGGTGTTACTATTTGCTTCCATAAAAAAAAAACAAAATTGTCAAACATACTTTAAATGGTAGAAAATGCGTGACACCTTCAGGAAAAAAAGTATTAAAAATCAAAGAGATTTCTTAGCCACTTAAAATTTGCACTTTCTTGAGCTAGAATTCAGTGGGCTATAACACTGCATACATAACTTTTTTCTTAAAGTTCTTATATAAAAAGATTTGTGTTCTTTTAAAAATTTTTTGAAATTTTCTATTTTTTTACAAAATTTGAAATTTGGTTTTTGTTAGATAGTGAGTTGTATTTTTATAAAAAAATAAAATAAACATTAAACAAACAAAAAAAAACCGAAACTGGTCACAATGTCGTGTCCCCGCCCACTTTTACATATTACAGTTTTTACTCTTAACAGACCTTAGGGTAAAAATCTATTTTCGGGCGCCACGATTTGAATTGGTGGAAACTGTCGGTTGACATTTTAATGAAATTATTTCTTTCTTTTCGAACCAATTATAGTGATTTTTGCTGCTGATTTTTGGCATTTGGATCATTGCCAAAACAATGCAAATTTTTTACAAACGTAATTAATACATTTTTGCAACTCATACCGATCTGGCTCAAAACCCTCATATTCAATATCTTTCTCTATTGCACCCAGCAAATTTTGAACTTTTTGGGAATGCGTACCGAAATTTTCACGCAAAATCTCAAAAACATGCAATCGAGAACATTTGGAATACTACGCGAGCCTCTGCAAGTCAATGCATCCACACTGAACACTTTTATAATCTTAAAATATTAACAAACAATATGTAATTAAAAATATTGAGGGCCGATAGGGGATACATACTTAAAACATCCTAAATACTTGAAAGACGAATCAAGAAACACACAAAATCCTACTTTTCTAAAACAACGATTTGCATAGAACACAATACGAATTATCTAAAAGTTTAATTGAGAAATAAAGCCAATACCTTTATGTACAATATCCATTGCATAGAATTTAACTCACTCGGCTTTTCACAATATTTTAATTACGTTAAATCCAATTCAATTTTCAGCGTGCTGACGCTGTACAAATACAAGTAATTTTTAGCAAAAAAAACCGACTTCAACTCTCATATAAAAAAAAATATATATCTCATGATCCGCTGATCGGATCTTAACCAGATTAGTATGGGACCACCTCTGAGACACTACCTATTATCGAAATCGGTTCACGTGGTCCAAAGTTATGCGGTAACATACATAAAAAAAAAACAAAAAAAATATTCCGACGAACTGATAACCTCCTCCTATTTTGGAAGTCGGTTAAAAATGAACAATTGATGACACTTTTGTTGCTTTATTCAGAAACAACCGTAAAGCTGATGCCAGATAAAACTTTGTGGCTTTGCGTGCCATTTATAACTTTGCCAGCAAAGCGCCAGAAGCAAAAAGTATGCCACAATAACGCCAGGAAAACAATTTTGTACTGCTTTTTTACTCCTCAAAATTGCTGTGGATCTCATTTATTTAGCTTTAAAAATATCAGAAATGTAATTAAATTTTATGTTTCTGCATGAAAACTCGAATTTGGACGAAACAAAATAAATATTAAACCGGCTGATTGTTGAAAGCGCCCAAAAAGATGGGAGTTGGCCATCTTTTCGCTTCGCGCTGCGGCTGTGAACTAAATTTAAATTTGTTTGTAGAACTTTTTATTATTTTTTTTTGTAGAAGCCTTTGAACTTTATAAAGTAGAATTTTGGAAATTTAAAAATGTATGTATTTTAAAAAAGGACATCAAATGTATGTGGATAAACCATGCACTGAATTATTCGATGGTTGTTATGCATAATTATTTCATGCTCTGCATATTTTCCATTATTTTAAAGAAAAAAATTATAGATACTAATTGTCTTGGAACATTTTGCACTCAGTTTTTAAACAACCAAAACTATAAATTTGTACAAGATGTTCATGTGAATCAAGCTGCGTTTCATGCGTGGAGGAGTCCAAGCATAAGCATCCATTCGTAGGACATGGCTTAGCCCGCGTGGCCGCTAGGGTTGCCAGATGCTGAAACAGAGAAAGGAGTACATTTCTATTTTCGATAGAAAAAAAGCAGTACAGAACTTAAAAAAGGAGTACAATTTTGGTTTTAATTTTTTTGTGCAATTTATTGTTACAAATTAATGGTAATTTTTAGGTACAAACAAACACGGATATCATAGAAATCTTTTTCAAAGCAACAATAAATGCTAAAAATAAATAACTAAATTCTACAAAGAATTCCAGGCTATTCCTGAATGTATGGCAATTTTTTTATTTTATAATTTTTTCTGATTTTTATACCCCGCCCTGCACCTACCTGCCTACGACCATGCTTACACCTTTTCACTATCACACTTGACTTTACTTACTAAGTAGTGTTTGCCACAATATGAATGGCAAAGTACAGGGCGCAAAATAATAACTGTCGCAAAGGTTTTTCGAAAAATAAAAGAGTCCTTTAAAGATTTTGCGAAAAAAAGTATTTTTTGCTAACTTTATAAATAGTGTACTTTAATTTTATTACTTAGTTTTAACACTTGAACCCTTATTTCCATTTGCCAGCTTTGGGAGATAAGTACATGCTTTTTTCAGGTGTATTTTTTCTTATACTTTTTATAAAAAAAAAGAAAACTGTATAGGTAGAGGGTTGGCCGAATGAATGGCCTCCTAGTCACCAGTTCCAAATCTTTTCGATTGCTGAGTATGAGGCCTTATGTTGGACAAAAGACGGAGTATAAAGGAGCCAAATGGAGGAAATTAGCCTATGGTTACAGAAGATATCGTCACTACACACGAATAAAGGCTCGCTAGTGTTTTGACGGCGAAAAAAGGCGCGTAAAAAAATTTTGCGAAAAAAGATGCTTATGAAAAACTTCGGCGAAGTATGTTAAGAGTCTTTGACGCTGAAGTTTTTTTATGCGTCTTTTTTCGCCATCATTTTTTGAGCTCGCGCCTTTATTCGTGTCTAGTGACGAATATGTAATAAAGTAACCGACGAAGACTTGCGTGCCGCTTGAGCTTTTCTCTCAAAGTGTTTACCGCTGGTAAACGCAAATGAAGGTTAAAATTTAAAAACTTATTAATAAAATTTAAGTAAAATCTGTGGATAATTAACAATAAACTACTTTTTTCGCAAAATCTATAAAGTTCCCTTTTATTTTTCAATAAAACCTGTGCAACAGTTATTATTTTACGCCCTGTATATGATAAAATATTAATAGCTGGAAAAAGGAGTACAAAAGAAGTACAAAACTAAGAAAGGAGTACATTTCCAGATATTTTTTTTTGGGAGTACAAGGGAGTACATTACAATAAAAAGGAGTACGTTTACTCCCAAAAGCAGTACTTCTGGCAACCCTAGTGGCCGCTATGCATTGATGCGCGACACGTATGTCAATATCGTTTTAAAGTTCATACACCTCATTATTCCATCATCTAAACTTACATATTTTTCTTAGTGTATAAAATTTGATTGGAACTGAATTAGAGAATGCACACATAGCAAAGTGTTCATTCATCTGGAAGCTAATTCAGTATTGAATTCAGTTTACTTCAGCATTCTCAGTTTTTCATTCAGGTTTTTCCCAACTTGTTGTGTGAAATCAATTATTTTTTGAACGATTGTAGATTTAAAAAAAATATAAGCCACACTACCAGACAACAGGAAAAAGAATGAAATCCTACTTGTAAATATTTCATGATTAAAATTTTAAATGATTGCACAGTTTCACATCTCTGTTATATATATACATATATGTATTTGCTCCCCGACTCTTTCCTGTCAACTTTCGTCTGTGAAAAAAACCAATGCATGTTTTTTTCATAGTTTTTTTGTTTTATTAGTGCTACCAGTTTGATTTGGTTTAAATTGAACCATTTGTTAGGCTTTACTTACCGACATTTCGCTTAGCTTTTCAGTATCAGGTTGATTTGTTTATTGACTTGCACAGCAATAAAATGTAAAACACTAACAAAAAAACAGCAAAAATGAAAGTTATATTAATACTTTAGGAATAAATAATTCAGTTAAACACTAAAAACTTATTAACTTACATTATATTTAACAGTGGACTATGAAATTTAAAACTAATAATCATTAAACTGAATATTAATCACACTTACCATGAGTTTCGCCAGAAAACAAACTCAACCGAAAATTTTCATCTGCCCGTAGTGAATACGCATATGTACTTAGGGTGACCAGACGTCCTGATTTATCAGGAAATGTCCTGATTTCAGGGTCGAATTAAAGTTTCCC